TTTAACGTCATTCAGTATTTCCAAAATAACCCCCAGCCTTAGCCATCAGTTATTTCCTCTATAAAGTGAAAACAATAAACAGTCTAGCTATATCTTAAATAAGCATTCTTACGCAATCTCAAAATAAAGTCCTGTCGGCTGCATTTCTCTCTGTGTCGTCTCTCTCCCTTCCATCTCTTCTCCGTCCTTCTCCTTCCGTCTCTCTTCGCCCATCTTTCTTAAATTAAGAAGTTATGTCTGTGATGATTTGTGTTTTTATGTGTATTAGAATGGGATATGACCGACCTTTCGTCATTCGTGACCTACTCTTCAGCCATTTGGGACTCACCCTAATGTCTTTCGAGACGGACTGGTGGCCTACCTACATGGACTGGTTCCTATGCTTTGCTGGATTACTTTTGGACTTATGGGATTTTTCCTAAGGACTGTGCATGGACTATTTTCTATGGACTACATATCCCATTCTAATACACATAAAAACACAAATCATCACAATATCCTTGTCCATCGGAGTTGAGATAAGATAAGGGTCAGCTTGCTCTTCTTAACTTTTTTTTTCTTTAGCTGGAGAAGAACTGACCTTGTACATTTTTCTCTCTAATTAGCACCTGGACACAAGCAGATTTCTAGCTTTTTTCGTTGCAGCTCTGAAATAAATCCTATGAAATACAACTCTATTCTATTTTCATAATCAAATTCATGACAGCGCCGCCTCCTGCCTCCCCACTTCTCCTCTTGGAGCTGCTTTCCTCAGCGCCCCCCCTGATAGTGCTGACCCCTCTGAACCTCCACAAGACAGGCATCGCAGCGTGCCAGCCAGGGGTCACCATTGTCCATCGTGAAATTATCCCACAGGGACCCTCTGCCGAGTTTGGCAAAATGACGACCCACTGCCTGCCCTTGACTGCTGCTGGTCTGGGAGGAGGGAAGAGATGACTCTTGGGATGGGCGGGGGGGTTGAAGCCTTCCTTGCCATTACTGGTTCTGAGGACTGGGAGGTTTCTGGATCTTCTGGAACCAGTAACTCCTCAGATTCCTCCAGGAAGAGGAGTGGTAGTTCTTGGGGCTCCTCTGGAAGCTCTGTTTCCACGCCTGCCTGCAAGGCCACCAGAGGAAGAGGGGTGTTGGTGGTGCCTATGCAGCCTCACAGGCTTCTTCCCCTTGGATACCCAATGCTGGCCACTGCCCTTCATGTTCAGTTGCCCTGTATCCCATCCTGCCAAATACGTGGGAGGGGAAGGAACAACTAAGAGCAATAATAGAGAGGGTGTAATACATTTTAATGTCTAAATTATGGTGGGGGAGGAATTGAAGGGATTTTTAAAAAGCAATGTGGGGAAGGAGCAGGAAAATTAATCGTACCCTAAATAACTCAAAACAAATTATGTTAATGAATGAAATAAATGAATTGAATAAGGAAAAGAACTGTGTTTGCTTGGCTGCACAGAAGTGACAGAACTTGCAGTAGCGCAACTAGCCAGTCAGCCAGCACCTGCCCTGTTTCAGTCAAAGACTTGAACAGAAGTGGGAAACGGCTGCAGGGAAAAAGGTACACCCGCACAGCCCTTTCGGCAGCACTATTGACAGCCTGACATGCTAATCCTGGATCTCCTGACTGCCCAGAGCTGCTGATTGGCACCAGCAAGCTGCAGAGATGATGCAGAGAAGTCCAAAAAGAGTGATGAATCAACAGATATAGACGAATCAATGAATAAAACTGGGTAAATATTTGTCGCTTTGTATTTGCCGGGGTCTCCAGAATTGACTAATACAAAATGATGTATATATGATACAATTTTCATCGAAAATCACAATTCATTTTTATATTCATCCCCATTTTTGTTTGTGGCTTGTTCATTAACTGCTGTTGAGCTCTTTATGGCTGATAAATAAAGCGACTTTTCTTGCTTGGAAGCTACTGCTCCAGGCTGCTTTCTATAGTATAGATGTATCAGATGGGCGGGATATAAATTAAATAAATAATAATAATAATAATTTTGGGACAAAATGGGTGCTGGAATATAGTTCTTTGAGATGGTTTTGAGCCCTGTAACATCAGTAACCTCCAGGATAGATTTGGTTTAAATCAAATCAATTTAAATCTTAATTTAAATTTTAAAAATCAATTTTTAACTATTTAAATCAAAATACTGATTTTTTAAAAACTTAAATAATGATTTCATTTTTTAAAATAAAATCACTGACCTAATTCAATTGAATATGTTCCCTTTATTATGCCAAGAGCACCGATATTTGAGAGCTTTACCACTGGGAGAGCGTACAAACACAATCTGTGTTTCTGTGTGTGGAATTCCAGTGGAAGGTTTGTCGTTTGATGAATTAGTTGGTGTCACCAATTCTGAAGTTGTTGTTCATGGGTCATTCCCAAAACATGGAATTTGGACTTAGAATGGGCCTGGGAATGTGGTTTCTGGCATTGTTTACTGGTTTGGTGCACCAGCCCCTTCTAGAGAGGTGTATCTTTTTATGCTGTCTTACTTGGAAGTTGCTGTTCCAGGCTGTCTTGCTCAATGTAGATTTCCTATCCAGAATGAATATTGGAATGTGGTTCCTGAGGATGTTTTCTAGCTTGTTACATCATTCTCCTCTCATCTGATAAGAATGGTGAATGGCACTCTTCAAGCTGTTTTGTATAGTATAAATTTTCTGCGTGGAATGGGTACTGGAATGTAGCCCCTGAGGCTTTTTGGCTGGTTGCATCTGTACCCTATAGTCTGATGGGACAAATTAATTTCATTCAGGTTTTCTACTCAGACTTTGCTTTTCGGGGCTGTTTTTCACAGCTGTCAAACCTACAATTCAATGCATTTCATTGGGGGGGAAAATCACCAGAAAATTAATGAAGAGTCAGAACAAACCCAAATTAAGTTAGCAAAGGTTTTACAAGGTGCACTAACGATTCCAAGCATTTTAAACAGTTTTTGAACATTTTAAGACACTTTAAAAATAGCGAAAACAGACCTGTCAAAACAACTGAAATGCATTGAATACTGTAGGCTTCAATGCATTCCAATGGGGAAAAAAATTCACCAAAAATTAATGAAGAGTCAGAACAAAGCCAAATTAAGTTTGCTAAGGTTTTACAAGGTGCACTAACGATTCCAAGCATTTTAAACAGTTTTGACCATTTTAAGACACTTTAAAAATAGCGAAAACGGACATCGTTAAGCGAAACGGGGGGACCCAAACTGTCATCGCTATGCGAGGCATGGTCCCGAAGATCGCTAAGCGAAAATCGCCCATAGGGAACATCGTTAAATGAATAATAAAATGCTCCCAAAAAAAACCAATCGCTAAGCGAATTCTTCGTTAAACGAAGCAATCGTTAAGCGAGGCACCACTGTATTGATTTTCTGCTGGGAATGGCAGATTTTCTGCGGCAGGCTTTTCTGCGGATGGGGGGATTTGTGGTTGGCTGCATCAGTCCCCTCTAGCTGGATGGGGCAGGTCAGTTTGGTTGGGCCGGTCTACTCGGAATTTGCCATTCTGGGCTGTTTTTCACATTATTGCTTTTCTTCCCAGAACGAGCACCAGAATGTTGTTTCTGCAGATGGTTTGTGGCTTGCTGCATCTGTCTCATCTAGCCACATGTGTGTTGTAAATTCGGTTGGGTTATCCTACTTGGAAGTTGTCATTCCAGGCCATTATGTACTTTACACCTGGTAACACATATCAAGGTGAGGAGAAATGGCACATCCCAATTTTTGACAACAGAAGTTTGGCTATAACTTAGAAATTGGCCATCTGCTTTGGATGAAGTACAGTGGTGCCCCGCATAGCGATGATAATCCGTGCAGCAAAAATAGCTTCAAAGCGATTTTGTTGCTATGCGATTATAAAAAGCCCATAGGAATGCATTGAAACCCTTCAATGCATTCCTATAGGCTTAAAATTCACCTATATTGAAAATCCTCCATATGGCCACCATTTTCGCTGCCCGATAAGCGAGGAAACGGCGCGAAAACACAGCGGGCGGCCATTTTGGAACCGCCGATCAGTCGTTAAAAAATCATCACTTTACAATGATTGGTAAGCGAAACAGGAAACATCGCAATGCGATCGCAAAAGTGATCGCAAAATCTTTGTCGCTATGCAGTTTCGTCGTTAAACGGGGCGCCCGTTAAGCGAGGCACCACTGTATATAGGTATTAAAAGTGATATATTATTTAACTCCAGTTAGAATTATATTTAACAAAATGGTTGTAACTATGAAGGAATGGGAATTCCAAAAACTTTCATTCTGAGATAATCCTGTTTGCCAAATCTCATGACATCAAACACGCACCATTGTCAACTAAAGAAAAGTCAGAAGAATCATCACTTTATTGTGTAACATAGCTCCTTTGCTCTTTTATTCAATGAAATGCACAAGTGGAGGCACAAGCAAATAAATGGGCCTCTTTTCCTTCCTCCATGCTAGAGGGCAAAGAGCACTAGAACCTTGAGGAAAGGGTGCTTCTTTGCACAGAAGCCTGGGACGTGTCACAACAATAAAACATGCCTTTGATGCCTTTGATAGGTAAACCATCCACAGAGGTTGGACACACTGAAATATGTATGCTGCTATGAAGAGATCTATTATATTCTCCTATAATCACATGTAGATATGGTTTGGAGCAACATTAATAACATTAACCTGGAGCAACAGGTTTATACCATTTAAATAATTTTGTGGAGCCCAGAAAAAAGCCAGATTGTGCACTAAATAGAAGGGGCTTATTCCTGTGATGTTGCTCTGAAGACATGGTAACTATGAAGGAATGAGAATTCCAATTCTGAAGAACAGCAGTATGAGTGAAAATAACTAATTCTTCAATACATATTGATACAGCAGATCAGATTTGCTCCTGTTTGTAGTTTATTATAAGTAGACTTCTAATGATAAAATGTATTTATCAAATCATTAGATAGTATTTCTTGCAAAATGTAGAACCTTTTTTGACATGCCCATCTAATACACACTTTGTCCTCTTTTTCAGTTCAGTCATCACTGGAAAACACATCACTAACAAAGTAAGCATGATCCAGAACTGCTTTGCTCTCTGATTATGGGAAACCAATTATTTTCCTGAGCAACATAAATCAAAGTCAGCGTCCAATGTACCTTGAGCAGAGATGAATATCAATTACAAATAATGGCACAAACTTTGGAAGTGCTTGGGTGCACTTTGTACCACTAAATTGACTATGAGTGTATGCAGTATGACTAAGTCAGGACTGGCCCACTGAGCCTGGAGCCTGTGTATTTCTTTCTCTTGTGGCTCCTCCAGGTAAGAAGACTTAAGAAACAAAAATTTCCAATCTCTTCTCTTGGCAGACATTGAGAGGGGGAATACACACCTCCAAGACTACTGCTCCTTGTTCTTCAGTTCTAAGGTGTGATTTAGAGGTTTATCTAAATGTTTCCTAAACTCTTGGCAGTGTCACCCAAGGTGGCGTGGTCAATGCTGAGATACCAAAGTAATATGTTCTTTTTATGAATTAATGTCACAGTAGCAGAAGAGAATTGATAATTGCAGTGGGGATGGAGAAACTGAAGGACACCTATTAGGCAGCAACATAGTGGAAATTAACAGTGACTGAGGATCTTTCATAGATAACCACAGTGATGTTCAAGTTAATTCTGATTAAGACCATGGAGGGAAAAAATGGTAAAGCCCTGTTAAATATTCTATATCTCAAAACCCCTATGATGAGACAATCTAAAATGGGGATTTCCTCACTCATAGTGTTTAATCAACCACAGAGGAAAAAGAAAACTAATACAGTGGTGCCTCGCTTAACGATGTTAATCGGTTTAAAAAAACATCGCTGTGGGAAAACATCGTTAAGCGAAACGTGTTTTCCCATAGAGATGCATTGAAAACCGGTTAATCCGTTCCAATAGGCACGGATTGCTATCCTTAAGCGAAAAAACCATAGGAAACATCGTTAAGCGATACAATGTTTCCTCCATTGGAAGGCATTGAAGCCTGTTCAATGCATTTCAATGGTTTTGCGATGTCCATTTTTGCAAATTTAAGTGTGTCTTAAAAGGTTCAAAAACTGTTTTAAATGCTTGGAATCGTTAGTGCACCTTCTAAAACGGGAGCAAACTTAATTTGGCTTTGATCTGACTTTTTGTTAATTTTTGCTGAATTTTTCCCCCCACCAACTTTTGACAGCTGTCAAAATTTGACAGCTCCATTCTTTCCTATGGGGGAGAAATAAATTCACAAAAAATTAACGAAGACTCAGAACGAAGCCAAACTATGTTTGCACACGATTTAGAAGGTGCTCTAATGAGCCCAAGCATTTAAAACAGTTTCTGAGTCTTCGTTAATTTATTTTGAATTTTTTTCTCCCCCATAGGAAACAGTGGAGCTGTCAAAAGTTGGGCTCCATTGTTTACTATGGGGGAGAAAAAATTTCACAAATAATTAATGAAGACTCAGAACAAAGCCAAACTAAGTTTGTACACGATTTAGAAGGTGCTCTAACGAACCCAAGCATTTACAGCAGTTGCTGACTTTTCGTTAATTTCTTGTGAATTTCTTCCTCCCCCGTTGAAATGCATTGAGCCCAACTTTTGACAGCTGTCAAAAGTTGGTTTCAATGCTTTCCTGTGGGGGAGAAAAAAAATCACCAAAAATTAACGAAAAGTCAGATCAAAGCCAAATTAAGTTTGCACACGTTTTAGAAGGTGCACTAACGATTCCAAGCATTTAAAACATTTTTGAACATTTTAAGACACTTTTAAAATTGAAAAAACGGACATCGTTAAGCAAAACAGGGGACCTAAAAATGCATTCGCTATGCGAAGCATGGTCCCGAAATCGCTAAGCGAAAATTGCCCATAGGAAACATTGTTAAATGATGCATAGAATTCTTTTAAAAACATCGTTAAGCGAAAATATCGCTAAACGAGGCAATTGTTAAGCGAGGCACCACTGTAACTCTCTTTTCCCCTCAAAAAAAGGAAGGAAATACATATCTAATACTTTTAATGGAATGGTCGCTTGCTTGCGAAATAACCTTGAAATGCAAACTAAAAAAGGGGAAATAGAATCAGGTAACAAAAATTGCCGAAGCCAAAAGTTTGGGAGAGTTGGCTCTTGAGGCTTGGAGAAGATTTACTCCACAACTAAAGTACGTTGCTTGAACAGAAACTAGAACCAGAAAACTCCTATGAGGAAATGTTGATGTTATAGCTTGTGATCTGAGGTCAAATACATGGACAAAGCCAAAGGCTCAATACAGATGATACAATAAATACAGAGTATCTATTCTAAGACCCAATATGTTTTACTAGGCAGAGAGTTGAACTAGGACTCAGGAGACCTTTCCATAGATTTTCTCCATTTACAGGACAATCATAGTGCAATCAATCTGAAAACAATGGATTGCCATTGTTTTATATCAAATGGTCACAGAGCTTATTCTCCAATGCATTTTGGCTTAAATATTGTGTTTTCATACTTTCTAGATATTTAACCTTATTATTTTAAATACCATGTTTTCTCTAGGGCTAGATTTAATGTCTCTTTTCTGCGGTACTAGAAGGGCACTTTCATAATATTCCACAAAAAACTCATCTGTTTCTCTATGCAAATGGAAGAAGTTGAGTCTTTGGGCATTTTTTGAATGGAATCTCTGCAGAGAGGACCACAATAGACTTCTTTGTCTTCTTATAAGAAAATGCCCTGGATCTATTTAATCCATGTTTTCTTGGTCTCAGGTCTCTTCAGATATCTTTTAAGACTCCAGCACCGTTGCCCATTGTTGGGAAAAAAGGCTTAATCCGTAGGCCCAAGAAGTACAGAGGTATAAATGTGAAGGGCTTTGAAGAAGAAATTGAACAAAACTTGCTGCGTGTACAAAAATGTAAGTTTGTATTGGTACTCTTCCTAGCTTGAAGTGGGACTGTCTGTTTGTATTGCTGCTTATGAGTAAAGGAGACACCGGTTTAGAATATCCCTAAATTTCTGAAGACAGAAATTAGGATATGAAAGTTATATTGGGTATCAGTAATGGTGCACGTATATGGGGCTGAAATTGGGCTCAGGGCAGTAATTTCTTTTTGAAATATTCCCAACAGCACAAAGCTACCTTCAAGCATTGCAAGCAGCCACTTCTCTGTCAAGCAATGCAGAGCTGACTGCTGCTGACACAGAACTCTTTGCTGAGCCTCTGCCCTCTGGACAGAATGGAGACAATGGTTCCAATGCTCATTCTCAGCACACTGCAGCAAGGCAGTCTTCAACCAGAGGGAGTATGCTGCCCTCTCGTCAGACACTCTCGCCAACCAGAGAAAAGTCCAGAGCAGATTTTGGAATGCCAGAGTGTGGCCAAAAAGAGGTCTTGGGGTCAGAGACTGGATTTGATGATGAGCCAGAATCTGTGGCTGAGGAAAACGCTGATGGGCCACCAGAAGAGCAGCCAAAGAAACTACAGGGCACAGTGAAAGAACTAGTGTGCACTAGAAATGCTGGTGAAATGGGAGCCATTCCCCAAGGAAGGCCTTGTACTTCTGGGAATGTAGAGCAAGAGGATCTGCCTAGAAACAGCTGCGAGGCACAGTTAAGTCTTTCTGAAGAATATCTGACCACGGGTGAGTAATCTGCAATGAAGCTAAGGAAAAATGTTCTTTTTAATCCTTCCATGCTAGGCAGCTGTTCACAGATTTTCCTTCTGTGGAGCTAAGTGGCATCAAAGTTTCCCATTGTAGTTTTGTGGCGTTGTGCTTTTTCTGACTTCCGGTGACTGATTTTGTGACTACCAGAAAATCTTATGATTCAGAGCCATGCTTAGGACTTGCAAATTCAAGGCTATGATTTCATTTATTGAGTCAATCTATCCCATATTCTGTTTTCCTCTTTCCTTTCTGCTTTTTTTCAGGTTTACTGTCTTCTGCTTTCCGTATACAGTATTCATTTTTTTTAACCTCAGGAAACATACTGTTGTCCTGAGCCAAACTTACTAGATACAGTGTGAGTTGATACCTATGGTGGACTAGGACTTGGGAAGTCAGGGTTCAAGTTCCTATTGAGCCATGAAGCTTACTAAGTGATCTTAGTTCAGTCACTGTCTTTCAGCTTGACCTAATTTTCAGAATCATTGTGAAGGTTAGTTAGGGAAGAAGAGAGTCATGTATACCACCATGGGTTAATTGGAGGAAAGACATAAGTATCAATATAATAAATACATAAGTGTTCCTCTTCCTTTTTCCTTGCACAAAGAAGACATTTTTAGGTCTCTGTGACATAATCCTGTGCCTCTGTGCTGCACTGTTCATAACTTTGCTCTCAAATCTGCTAATCTAGAGATACGTCCAGTAAGAACATCTACACCAATTGGTGCCAGACTCCCAGAAGTCTATCCAGGCCATTTGTCCTCGTTACCAAGAGAGAAGTCTGCCAAACGTTCAGTGAAAGAAATGGTGTCACAAATAATTAAGGAGCTGGACAGGAGTGTGATTCCAGCTGTTTTGGGTCAAGGCATTTCAGAAGCCAACCTGAGGGAGGAGCCCAATGAAAAGGGTAAGCGCATACTGCTGGATGTTATCATAGCCCCTACTGAGAGGGACACAGTTCCCAACAAATAGTGTGTCATTTTAAAATTTTCTGTAGAGGTTATATAAAGAGATGCAACTATGGAGGCATCTCTCCTCAGACTGCTGTCAGCCCCCTGGGATCATTGTTCCCTTGCTACCTGGTATATAATTAATGCAACATATTGTTGTAATCAGATTAGAAGGGAGGCTGATTCATGATTGGATACTTTAATTAGGGTCATTTTGATGAGATAGCCACTTTGTAGGAGTTCATAAAAGAGGGCGACTTGTAATTGGATCTGTAGTTCTGGAATTCCTAATCCCTACTGTGTTTTCCCGAAAAGAAGACAGTGTCTTATATTAGTTTTTCTTCCAAAAAACCATTAGGGCTTATTTTCAGGGGATGTTTTATTTTTTTATGTACAACCATCTACATTTATTCAAATACAGCCATGTCACCTTGTTGCACAATGGTGGAGGGCAAGGTTTCACTTCACTAGGGCTTATTTTTGGGGTAGGGCTTATATTATCATACTAGGGATTATTTTCAGGTTAGGTCTTATTTTCCGGGAAACAGGGTAGTTCTCTAAGCCTATAATTTCTCAACCCCTGTTCAAGTTATAGTAGTCACTGATAACCTTATGGTGCTTATCTGTCTGAAAATCTTGCGATTCACGCCTGCTGAAATTTCAGTGGCCATCATGAGACACAGCGCTGCCTGTAGGGTGCAGCTTCAATATTTTAAATGTATTGCCCTTCTTCCTTTTGTGAAGATGTAACTCAGAGATTGCTTTTCCTCATTACCTGGGCAGTGCTGTAGGTATGAAAATCCAGACAATGTACAAATTTGGCAATGATGCAAGTGATGTAGCAGTAAACCTAAATAGATGTTCATGGGTGGGATATGTGTTTCAGAGAAGGCTCAAATTAAAGTGTGTGCTTATTTGTCACTGGTCTGTACCCATTCATGTCCTCAAAAATTATAAAGCAGCTACTCCTGGCAGAGGTGTAAGTAGAAAGAACCCTGATCAATTGGAGAGGCAAGCCAGAAAGAAAACAGCTGAAGAAATAACCCCACAGGTTGCTGATGGAGGTAAAACCAGTGAAGTGTTGGACATGATATCAGAAGCTGAAATGGATACTGAGTCTAAGGAGATGTCAGAGGCTGGAACAGACCTTGAAAATGCTGGTGAGGAGACATGGTGGGATTGGAAAGAGGGACTACCTACCCATACTTGTAGCAATACAAAACTGGTCCTCACATGAAGCCATTTCCTTTAGCTGTTCCAAACAGAAGGGAAAGGTTTTTGCCCATTGACTGCTGGAACTTGTCAGAAAGTACACCCTATCCCCGGGGTGGGCAATTAATTTCTATAGGGGACCACATGAAAAATCTGAACTGTGTTCAGGGGCCGAACCAACTTTACTTAAAAATAGGCCCCCATTAGGTGGGTAGTAATAGGCCCCCAATTTGTGTCACAAAAGGGTGACTACGGGTTCTTTTGTATCCCAGGAAGAACAACATTAAACAGCAAAGAACCTCACAAGACACATTAATAAATGCAAAATTAAAAATACTTTATTATCTACTGATTACAATTCTAAATAAAGGGGCTTCATGCATTCAGCACATACACACCACATACATACTCACCAAAGAGAGAAGAGTTCTTTATTTGCATTGTCCAAGTTCCAAAGTAATTAGTTCCAAAAGCCTTTTGGTCTCAGCAGACAGACTAACAGACTAATGTTTTCCCAGACCTCTCCTCTTATATTCTATATAGGCAGTAGAAATACAAAGTCCCATAGTTCCTCTGGTTCTATTGGTCTCCATTTTTGTGTTCTAACTCTCTCTGGTCTTCACCTGATCCAGGCCAAACATGCACACTCATCACATTTGTGGATAGTAATAGCCTCCCATTGGGTTAGGCCCTGCGGTGAACAAACTACAAGGCTGACATAGTTAACTCCCTAATCTTTTTAGAGAGTGAACTATGTGAGCGCTGTAATTCGTTCACTGCAGGGGCGGGGAGGTCTGTCCTATCCCAAAGCATTGGTTGGTCCCCATGCATCTGTATATCAGGTTGTCATTTGTGCAATTCCATTAATTTTTTCCCTAGTCCTGAGGAATCAGGTGCTGGTGAATCATTCAGAATCTGGAAAGTTGGATCAATTGTGAAAAGAGAGGTCCAAGCCATACTGTGACTTACCCACCCCTTCGTAGCTACATATAATTCTCCCTAAAGACAGTATGCACAAGATTCTTTCTTTCCTACCAGAACCAACTGGGAAGACACCAGCATTTGTGCATGTTAGAGCCTTCCAGCGCACATCTTTGCTCTCCACCCTGCAAGCTCAGAAAATGGCTGAATCCAGGTAAATGTGCACTTGAAAAAGTTACTTTTGGGGGCACCAACTCCCAGAACTCTGGGAATTGTTAGTTTTCAGGCCCTGAAACTCACTAAACTGCAGGGTCTACAGAGGAATTCTACAGAGGAATTCTGGATGTTTGTAATATTTTCAGACACCATTAGCTGGGGAAATTGTGTCTTACCAGTTGTTGGGGTCCAGTTTCCATTGTCTTTGTCATTGTATGTGCAGGATGGAGACAATGGAGTTCTGTAGAAGTTGAGGGACCGTACGTTCACTATCATTGCTACCAAGTTCACTGCTGAGACAAAATGTATTTATTTTTGTATTTCTCTTGGAGGTCTCCTTACACACAGCCTTCAGTAAAACAGGCTGCAAAGCCAGCTAAGAGGGGACAGAGCAGTAAATGTGAGCCAGCACTCCCCAACAGCTTTGTAAAAAAATTGTTCAAGCACTATGTGAGGATGCCGGTAAACAAAGATGCTTTCAGGGCTGTGGAGACGTGGTGAGTAATATTAAACTCTTTTAATACATGTTAATGATGCTGGGGAAGAGGTTAACCATTAAATAGTACTTGGCCAAGAAAATCAAGCACTACATACTGTATTTTTCTGTGTATAAAATGACACTTTTTCCTTAAATAATTTGAGAAAAAACTGAGGGTTGTTTTATACATGGAAAGCAGCTCTCTTCCTTTTTGCTAAGCTCTGTGCCTTCTCAAAAGGCAAGGAAAAGTGGCAGTCATTTTGACAGCTGCTTTCCTTTCCTTTTGCCAAGGCATGGGGCTTAACAAAAAGGGAGCCCTTTGATCCCTGCTTCTTCTAATTTGGGGTTAGAAAAGGGGGGGTTGTCTTATACTTTGGGTCTTCTTATAAGCGGAAAAATATGGTAGTCTATCCTACATGGATAAAGAAGACCCAGAACCATCAAGCAGAACTGTTATACATAGTATGTGACTTATCCAGGTCTTATCAAGGTGATAGGCCTCCCTCTACCATCTCCTGTGACCAGTTTGTGGCATTTTTAAAGAATAAAGTGAAGGCCATCCTCCAGGGCCTAGACTCACAGATTGTAGCTGTAGACCAGCTCAAGACGTCCACGCCTTGTCCCATCATAAAAATTCAGTTTCAGCCTCTATCTCCATCAGAGATTGACAAGGTGCTTGATCACTGCAGGGCCACCACAACCTCCCTAGATGGCTTTCAAAAGCTGGCAGGCCAATAATTATGAAATGGGCCATGTCCATCATTAACATGCCTCTCTTGGAGGGCCATAGTCCCAAAGCCGTCAAGGAGATGCTAATTCAGTCCATCCAGCAGAAATTAATTTGATGGCAGATGATTGTAATAGCTAGAGGCTCGCCACCAATATTCCTTTCCTAAGCAAGCTAGTAGAGAGGGTGGTGGCTGATCAACTTCAGGCACTTTTGGATGAAACCAACGCCCTCAATCCTTTCCAGTTCAGGTTAAGGCCACATCATGGCACAGAGTTGGTACTGGTTGCCCAGCAAGATGACCTTTTGAGGGAGGCCAATAGGAGCAATGGCCCTCCTTGATCTCTCAGCAGCCTTCAATACTGTCAACCACAGTATCCTCCTGAGGAGGCTTTCAGGGTTAGAGATTGGAGGGGCCTGGCTTTGTCCTGGCTCCGGTCCTTCCTGGAGGACTGTTCCCAGAAAGAGTTGTTGGATGAAATGCTTTCTTCCTCCTGGACTCTAAATTGTGGAGTCCCCTAGGGATCCGTCATCTCTCCCTTTCTGCTTAATATCTACATGGGACCACTGGAAGAGGTCCTCCCAAGTTTTGGAGTTTTGTGTTACCAATATGCGGATAACACCCAACTCTTTTTTTTTTTAATTTTTTAATTTTATTTTCAAAATTATTGGGTAATGGGGAAGGAATACAAAAGGCAAAGGGCAGTGGGGGGATGGAAAAAGGGTTTTGAGAATAAGAAAACATCAAATGCATAATCATTCAATCTTTCATATCAAATATATAAACATCTAATCTATTCATGTTCCAATAAAGGTTCATCTTTCTTCTTCTTTTTCTTCTTCTTCTTTTGACTATTTTGTCTATGTATTAACCTCTTTAGCTTTCAATTTATACGTGTAATACAGCTTAAATCTATGTTATTCCCACAGCATCAGAACACCAAGGCCAATTGTGAAATATATCCCCTCTTTCACCCTCCTTTTTTCTTGAGAATACACTCAACAGACCCAAAATAATATAAATTCTGCTCTCCCCTCCCCTTTCCTCCCTGTGCTTGTTTTGTTTCTGCGACTCTTTTTTCTTCCATATTTTAAAAGGGGAAACAATATCATTCAAAGTTTGCTTTTCAACCTCGATTTCCTTATCTGCTATCGCTACATCGCTTACAGGGTGGCCCTCCATCCCTTGTATATTATCTGATATCTTCATCAATACAGCCAGTTCTGAGATCTCTTTTTGGTGTAATTTAACCTCCGCTACCTTCCCTCCCCTAGAGCCTCCAATCACGTCTTCCATCTGGTCAATATAATAATTTACCTGCATGGATTTTTGCAACAGTGACATCTGAAAAGAGGTTTTCCAGTCTAGCCACCGATCTGTAATTTTCTCAGGGGGAGGTTCCATTTTCTGTTTCCACTATTTTCACTTAAAATTCTCTCTCCCCTTTACCCCAGTACACATCCAATATTTCTAATATTTCACCTTGCAACTATACAATATTAGCAATAAGATAGCAGGTACATTCAAGTAAGAGATGGAATCATGTCATTTGTCAAGATCCCAGTTCAGTTCAAACCACATAGCCCCCAGTTCACAGCTCACAGTTCGTTTCTCCCTTTTACTTCCAGAGACTTCCTTCTCCTCCCCCGAAAAGGGAGGTCCAGCAATCAGAGTCCCGGCAAATATATTATCCACGGAAAGCAGAGTCCCACACAGTCTAAAAATATATATCCAAAGAGAAAAAGGGGTCCAAAGTGAACAGCTTGCAACAGAATTTATTTTTTCAAAGCCTGTCAGTTGATTCTTCAAGAGTTATTTTTCCTCCTTTAATGGAGACACGAGCTATTTCTGCCTGGCTGTTCCTTTAGAGATAACTCGACCTTCAGCTTGAGTAAAGCTGGTATGCTAGGAATGCAGCTCCTTATCTCATTTGGTCATAAATTTGCACACAATCACTTGTTCTTCATTTAATGAGGTTTTTCATAGAACAAGGGCTTCCACTTACTTTGATGTATACTTTCGCCGTGCTTCTGTTTTCTTATTCTCAGCGAACGGAGCTGTCTTTGGCTAGTTGCCAAAAATGGCGCCCGTCTTCGTCTGTGCTGATGTGAATTTCCAGAAGAAAGACAAATCGAGTTGCTGCCCAATCTTCTAACTTCTGTGGCTCACCAACTGCTGCAGAAGGGTCTCTCCTGACTCTTCCTCGGCCCCCCGTTTCTGGGAGGGTCCCAGACCGAAGTGGTTCTAGCTTTTCCCGGGAGCTATTCCCGAGAGCTGCTAGCTTCACCAAGACGAAGCTCCTCCTCCGATAACACCCAACTCTTAATTCTCCTTCCATCCCACTGCAGAGGATCCCATCCCATCCCTTGAGCGCTGCCTGGAGGCAGTCTTGGATGGGGGCTAACAGACTGAAACTGAGTCCGGACAAGACAAAGAGCCGTCAGGTGGGGTTTCCTGCTGACTGTGCGTTGGAGGCCTTCCTTACTTTGGAGGGGAGGCACTCTGTCCACTAAGGGTGCAGTTCTCAGTTTGGGTGTCCTCCTTGACCCTGCGCTGTCTGTGGATTTGGATTCTCAAATAGCATCTGTGGTCTAATCTGCCTATTTGCACCACAGGCAGATTGCTCAGTTTGCCCTACCTTGACACCAGGTCCCTCGCCATGCTCATCCACACTCTGATAATCACAGGAATAGATTACTGCAATGTGCTCTATATGGAGTTACCCTTGAGACTGATATGGAACCTTGAACATATCCAGAATATGGCACCCAGAATAGTAAAGGAAATACAGTAGTGCCCCGCATAGCAACGTTAATCAGTTCCAGGATTAACGTCACTATCCGGAAACATCACTATCCGGAACGTAAAACCCCATAGGAACACTTTAAACTCGGTTTAATGCGTTCCTATGAGGGGAAAACTCACCGGTAAGCGAAGATTCCACATCCGGCTACCATTTTCGCCACCTCGGTAAGAAAGGGCAGGGTGCGAAAACGCTGCGGGCAGCCATTTTGGAACCGCCAATCAGCTGTTTCCAAACCATCGCAATGCGAAGATCGGTAAGCGAAACGCTTACCAATCATCGCAATGCGATGTTTTGCCATATAAAACATCGCAATGTGATCATAAAAACAATGGCAAAATCCGCATCTCTATGCAGATTCGTCGTTAAACAGTGCGCTCGTTAAGCGAGGCACCACTGTAAGTACCATCACATTTCCTCAATGTTGGCTGCCCTGCATTGATTACCTGTCTGTTTCCGTATCAGCTTCGAGGCGATGGTCTTGACATATATAGAGTGTGGGACCTCTGTACATGGCAGAATGCCTACTCCCATCTGGGACTGAACATAAAAACATTAGAAGAGCCCTGCTGGATCAGGCTAAGGGCCCATCTAGTCCAGCTTCCTGTGTCTCACAGAGGCCCCACCAGATGCCTCTGGGAGCCACAAGGCAACGAGAGACCTGTCTCCTGATCCCCCTCTCCTGCATCTGGCATTTTGAGTTACCTTCCTTTTAAGCCTGGGGAATATACATAACCATCATGCCTTGTAACTTCCTAAGGGAGGTGCCCCAGCCCAGTCATCATTTTAGTCACTCACTTCTGCACCTTTTTCAATTTCACCATATCTTTTTTGTACACAATACTCCAGGTGCGCCCTTACCAGCATTTTGTACAATGGCATTATACTGTTGTCTTTTTTATTTTCAATCCCCTTTTTTTCTTTTTAAAGAAAAAATAATAACAAAACTAACATAAAATGTTTGTACATACAGAATACAACTAGAATTCCCCACCTGTGCCACCTTCACCCTCGGGACTAGGTAACCAAAAATATCATTTTAATATTTTTCACCCCATTCCATTCCAAAAATACATTGATTCTTCTGCTGACTTATGCCCTTTCCCTTTCACAAAGACATACCCCAAATATAAATTCCATACCTCTTTAAAATCATTAAACTTTATCATTCCCCTTCTTACTTCCATTTCACATGTTAGCTTATCATTAATTGCTAAACTCCACATTTCTTTGTGCCAATCTTCAAGATTAATGTGTTTGTACACTTTTCAAATTCTTTGCAAATATTAATCTTGCTACTGACCATAATTATTATTAATTCTTTCTGTTCTTTTTTAAGATAGTCATTCTTAATTAGATCTTGGTGTTGTTTGAATATTATTTCCAATAATTTCCAATAATTTCTCCAATTTCTTTAAAAACCAGTGCCCATTCTTTCTTATTTCACAAGTTCACCAAGTATGCATATAGGTCCCTTTTTCCTTTTTACATCTACAGCATTGAAATGGTACCTTTTTATTAT